ATGTCAACTAATAGGTAAGGATACTGAGGTTCAGAGAATTTAATTTTCCTAAGGTCATATAAATAATAATAATTCAAAGATGAAGTCCAACTCAGCTGTGCTAGGTACCCAGCACCATTAATATATGTTGAATACAATTTTATTATATTTTCAGCTGGAGGTATTGTCAAGTGCATTTTAGGGAAAGGAAAGCAGTATAAATAAGTTGATAGAGACCTTATAATACATTTCCTCTTTAAATATCATCAAGTAATTTGGTACTGCCTTTGTATAGGGAAATGTATTATTTAGGATTTTATGGTTGCAAGTAACAGAAAATGTGACTCAGAATTGCTTATATTAGGGGTAAGCAAATTTTTCTGAAAAGAGCCAGATAGTAAATATTTAGGGCTTTTCAGGCCCATATAGTCACAACTACTGAACTTTGTCATTGTAGCGCAAAAGCAGCCATACACTGTATATAAAGGAGTGATCATGACTGTGTGCTAATAAAACTTTATTTATGGATGCTGAAATTTAAATTTCATATAATTTTTAGGTGTCATAAAATATTCTTTTAACTTTTTTTTAGTTATTTAAAAATGTAAAATCCATTTTTAGCTCACTGGCTCACCAAAAATAGGTGTCAGGCCAGATTTGGCTTGTGGACTAGTTTACTGACCTCTGGTTTACAAGGACTTTGGTATCTGCCATCTCTCTACCCTAATTTTCTTAATGTTAATTTTATCCTATGGTTTATTTTCTTTGTATTTGTAAGATGGCAGCCAGAATATCCAGGATCCCAGTGGGTTGTCTTCCACGTCTAGGGGAAACAAGACCCTTTCCAGAAGTTCTTTCTAATGTCTCTTGAACTTAATCCCATTAGGTTTCACTCCTACTACAAAACAGGAACCATGCTAAATCATCTACATTGACTAAATTTAATGATCAATTCTCAGTCTTAATATAACTTGACCTATCAACATCTGATTTAAAAAAAAAATTTAATTGATTTCAGAGAGAGGAAAGGAGAGGGAGAGAGAGAGAAACATCAATGATGAGAGAGTCATTGATCAGCTGCCTCTTGCACGCCCCCATCTGGGGATCGAGCCCTCAACCTGGTCATGTGCCCTGATCAGGAATCGAACTCCGATCACCTGGATTCTAGGTTGCCACTCAACTGCTGAGCCTTGCCCGGCCAGGCCAACATCTGATTTTTTTCATTCCATGAAACACTTTCTTTTCTTGACTTCGGTACTCTTTAGTTTTGTTCCTGTTCTCTGGCCACTACTTCTTATTGTCTGTTGGTTATTCTCATACCCCCAGTCCCTACATGTTGGATTCAGCCCTAAAGCTTACTCCTCTGACCCCTTCTCTCTCTCTCCCCCTCC